TCACTGACCTCTCGTACCAATCACCATCCTGACATGTTAGTCTAAACACACTTAAGCTTAACAATCCATGGACAGAAAAAATAATAAGCCTAAAAATGCAGAGTGCCTGTCCACCATATCAATGAAACAACAGGTAAACAACTGCAAATTGGCACATTAGGACTGATCTCATAAGTGGTTATGTTTTCATCAATCCAAATGAATTAATTACAATTTCAGATAGTGAACTGGGGACCATGGAGCTGTGAAGCAGCGATGGTACCCACTGCACCACTGTGCTGCCCAGAACCACACAAAGTATCAGCATGAGGCAAATGTGTACAGTGTGCACAGTGTTGTGATGCAAACATACACCCATAAGATCAAAGATGAAAGTTTTCCAGTTATGCTTTCATTCTTCCAACAGATTATTTAACAAATTTTATTGTAATTCTATTTGTTCAGATTTGCTATTTGCTCAACCAGTTTACTGTAATAAGTTTAGATATATACTACATTAATGTTTTTTTTAATTTGGATTGAGATGTTCTTTGGATTATTAAGGTATTAGGCTAAATGTAAATAGAAGATGTATTTTTTGTGTGTATCTGTGCCTCACCTAATATGCTCATCAGTCCAGTAAAGGAAGGGTTACTTCACTCTTTAAGAATTAATGAACGGAGTACTAATCAAATTTGTATATAGATTTGATAAAAGATTCTTGACTAACAGGCAACATGATAAATACAATGGGGTGTGAATACAGAAATTAGTTCCTGCATCTCAATCAAACATCATAACTACATGTGAATTTACCATCTGTTCTATCATTAGTTACTGAGAGTAATTTAACAAAAGCCCTTATACGATGTAAATCTTACCAATCACTGCATTAGCAGACTGGTCAGATTAAGTCAATGAGCCAAGTCTGTCTGTGGTTATTTAAAACATGTCTGTCTGAACTAATCAGGCTCTTCTCTCATCTGTTCCTCGCTCTGTCATCCCTCGCTCTTTATGTCTCCTATTACAGTCCATCACAATGGCTCTGTTCTCATTCTCCTATTCCCTGCTGACTGGCACACAGAGGAAGTAGTATAGGATATCAAGAGACTGTCTGGCGTTAAATATGTGCCCTCTTAGCCGTGTGTGCATGCACACAATCCAGGATACAGCTTCAGCAGTTAAGCCAAAGCTCCGCATCATTCATATTTCCACTACATTCAGAACAGAAAGAAGCATTACAAAAGAGATATTAGAGTGCTATGATCTGACCCTATACCTCAGAGCATGGTTTGCAAAAGTAATTATGCTTTAAATGGGCTCCAGTGCTGAAGCACAGAGGCTGTGAAGAGCTGTCAGTGTGGCAGGGATGAAAGGGAGGCCTTGTATGTAACACAGCATGAGTTCACTCTCTCTCTTTCACATACACAAGCATCAAAATTTTTTCAGCTCCAGCATAAAATTACACTGCATATTGTTTAAGGAGAATCTAAAGCAGATCTGCATTGCAGTGGCCCCTCATCAGCAGACCAATGCCAGCTCAGTGCAGCTACTGCAGATTTACTTGCACTAACACACACAAGCAAAGAGACCAGACCTGTCAGAGAGAGAGAGAGAGAGAGAGAGAGAGAGAGAGAAAGGAAGAGAGAGAGAGAGAGAGAGAGAGAGAGATTTCCCTCCACCATGGCAGCTCCTTAGAGTGGTGTGTGCTCCATGACTGTGCATCATGACTCATCCAAGAAGTTGTGGAACACCAAGCCTACATTTCACAAAGACAAGCAACTTTCAGTTCAGAAATCAGAGGCAGAGAAAAGAGACGTTAAAACTGCATGAATGGTGAACACACAGAGGAGTGCTTCATTAATTTTGCTGAAAACGAACCAAAGACTCATCCTAAGACCTGAGTAAAAAACAGAAATCAAAACTCCGCATTCTTCCTCAAGAGTAAATCCACAGGGACTATGACAAATTAAGCATTAATGTATATTGAACTGAAAAGGAGAGGACTACATTAGCATGAGACTAGAAAGACGCTGATCTCACTAAGTGATGTAGGGGGGAAAAGGTGTGCTAGAGGAGAAAGCTGTAGGAGAGGGGGCTGGAAAATGATACTAGCAGAGCCAAAGCAGACAGCTCAGCTCATTTCTGCACCCCGTGAACAGTTCCACACTGGCATCCAGAGCCACTGCCAGCTGCTACAAAGTACAGCCAAAACTCCAGCATGCCTTGCTTGAGTGCTACTGCCCTGCAGTGGTGGACTGTGGAAGTGCAAGAGAAAGCAAGTGGTGAAAGAGAGTACTGCAGCACTTAACATTGGTATCACTGCTATAAAAATCTTACGGATGGAAAATTTAACTTTAATAATAAAAATATTATGTTACACAAACACAAATTAAATTGTGTGAACAGGGCAGTAATGTTTATGTAATGCTCTTTAGCCCAAGGTCAAAAGAATGCATCCTGGATGTATGAGAGGTGCAGATCAGGGTTGTGCTTGATCAATGTGATCAATCGTGTTTAAGGACCAAAGGAGCACTGCAGTAAGGCTACACTACTGCTGATACCCAGACATCTTCTGCAGGACCTCACCCACAGGCAGTAATACATCTGCTCCTCATGCACACCAGCATAATGTGTTACTGTAGCTAAATAAATCTAAGAAGATCTTTTGTCTCCTAGTTTTTTCAAAACCCTGTTGTCTGTTTTCCTATTCCTATTCTGTCATCATGTTGTCATTTGTTTGCCAAAATGAGATAAATATATTACTGTGCACGCACACATACACACACATCACAGGTCACACTATAGGTCACACTCCTCATCTCCACAGGGAAATCCTGTCACTCATGCTCATTAAATTTTTCTTCCCAGACAGGCAGTTGCTGTAAAATGTTATTATAATCATTAAACTGTAATGTTTCAGTATGATCACTTGTCATTTTTCCATCTTGAAAAACACTAGGGCTGTCATGTGACTACATGAATACTGTTTTGCAATTCATGTATGAAATTACATTTTTGTAATTACAAATATCAAAAAGGTATTTGTACTAAAAGTGATATTATGTACATGTAAGCAGTTAATTTCCAAGAGGAATTTACTGAAGGTGTTCTTTTCTGTGGCTGAATCTCAAATGGCGATATACTGAGGTTCTACAATGACATTATGTTATACACTAGGTTCTATTTTCTCTTATGTGATACAAAACATGTTCAGTCAGTGTATGATATTATAAAATGATTAACATTCATTAATATTCTAATGAATTTCAATACTAATTCTTTTAAGTATTAGTGAACTTAACAGCTAGTGAAGTTACTGAAGTTACTTAACATTAGTGAAGTTACTGAAATTTGACAGCCCTAGCTGCTTATTTTTAATCAGAATTGCTTGGTTGCCATTTTTCAATTAAAAAACACTCTCACCACCACCGCCACCGCCACCGCCACCGCCCCCCCCCAAAAAAAGGAACTCTGTCCCTCACTAATAAACATAGAGCCCAACTAAAATGCTAGAAATCTTAATCAGCACCTCCATTCTTTGGCCAGAGATGAATGCAAACACAGGTTCACTTCCTCTTTCATCCATCAGCCAGCAGGGTGGTGTACTGAGGGCTGAGCCAGGACATCATTACAGCCAGAGCCACAGCACCACAGGCCTCCTTCTATATGACAGCACTAATGTATCCATTTATTTGCTCCAGCTATTCTGGTCCAGGTCAAGGCCATGACCTAGCTACGAAAAAGCACTTCTGCAGCTTCAGCACTTCAAGATTATGTCTTCATCAAACTCAACATGGCCAGCATTGCCCTATCTGCCTTTCAGCCATGAAGACTCCATGGTTATGAACCTGTACCTAAAATGAGTTCTGTGCAGACTGTATGAGTGTGACGCTCCAGTTTCAAGCAATCTGTTCTTCTTCGGCCATAGCAAATAGACATGACCTCATTCCTAAACCTGGAAAAAGTGGAAAGGTGTAGAGAAAGAAACAGAGAAGGAGAAAGGGAGGAAGAGTGAAAGAAGGACAGAGACAGAAACAAAATGCAGATGGATTCACTCTGTATTCATTTAGGATAACCACACTGCATCCGTAAAGTTTGGGAATGTGAGATCACTCCATAGTGACTTGGAAATCCACAATATTTATTGGATAACAGTACTAAACATTTATGACATGAATTTGTAAAGAAACTGTAGCTAGATTATTAAAATACTATATTATACTATGCTATCTATTAAAATACTATACTATCTACTTTCTTTACAAATTCACATCATCATGGTAACATTTTAGTTTTACCAAATAGAGACAAAATGAGGGAAGCAAGGTTTCTAAAATACATTAGCAACACTGAGTGGCTTGAGTTTCGGCAATAAGACTTTCTGTGCCATCTCAAAGAGCTACCTCAGACTCATTTGAGCAACCTGTAAGTGAGTGAGTGAGTGAGTGAGTAAATAAATAAATAAATAAATAATACATTTAACCAGCCCATACACAATACACATTAGACTACCAACTTATTCTTAAAAGTTCTTTCCCTTTTAAAAGGAGGCATGAAAAGGGACCCCAGAAAAAAAATGAAAAGCTTATTTTGCTACCTATAACCGTGCAATTTGAATGTTTTGTGCATTCCTTTTTTATTTTCCGATTGGTTCTGAGAAAACTGTGGCAAACAGGAAAAATAAACATCTTGTCTAGTGATGCCTGGTCACGCAAAAATCTACAGCTCAAATTTTATTCCTTGCAGGACTGATTACTCCAATAAAAATGAGGCTATGCAATAAGGATAGCAGGTCTTAAACCCAATCCAAGTTATTTATTGCTATTTAGGGTTGCTGTTCTTCTTCTTTCGGCTGCTCCCGTTAGGGGTCGCCACAGCAGATCATTGGTCTGCATATTTGATTTTGCACAGTTTTTACGTCAGATGCCCCTCCTGATGCAACCCTCCCCAATTTTATCTGTGGTTGGTACCAGCACTGGGAGTGCACTGTCTTGTGCACCTCCAGTGGCTGGGGTTGGTTCCCTGGCTGGGAATCAAACCTGGGCCGCGGCAATGAGAGCGCTGTGGCCAAACCACTAGCCCTCCAGGGACTGTTGCTATCTAGGGTTATTAATTATTATTATTATTATTAGTAGTAGTAGTAGTATTATTATTATTGTTGCTGTTGTTGCACAAATCTGCACCCACGATTACATGCAAAGGCATTCAGCTGGTACGTGCAGCAAGGAGAAGCTCGGCAGATATTGACTGATTATTTCAGCGTAGCTGACATTGCTCTCCATGGGAAGCCAAAGGCAATGAGGAGGATCCAGCACCAGATTTAGAGCCAGCAGCTGCTCGGCTCTGCACCACCCCATGCATCTGCCAAGTCACCCTGGGCATGGCTCAGAGGTGACTCCATGCACCAAGGCTGTCACCATTTACCCACCCACACACACATCTTGTGTAACTATGTGGGATATTTCCATACTTCCTGTGAAATGCTTTAGCTAAATATTGCTACAAGTAAACCTAACATAATTTCAGAAACCCAAAAGAAGATTTATAGAGCCTTTAGGTTTTCCCCCCAAATAAATGCTTATTTATTTATACAATACTTACATGCTGTTAAGTAATAAAAAAAGCATACCAGTCTATGGAGGTCATCCAAAATTCCCATACAATGTTAAAATTATGTATTACTATCACTATGGGCACATTTGGTTACAACAAAATGCTAATACATGCCTGTATTTTGGTATCATGCTAGAAAAGGACTGATATTTGAAATTAACATAGCATACCTCAATACATGGCACACACATAAACACAACACACCACCCACAAATCCTGTGCATTCCTAAATTTTCACACAGATCAGAATAATTTGTGCAAGGAGATAGTGGTGTTTAAGGAGGAAGCAAAGAAAACATGTATAAAACAAAAGCCAATTTCCAATGCACTAAACTATTCATCATCCTGCCAGGGAACGTAAAGGAGGAGCAGAAAGCATAAGCTGGATTAATCACCTTTGGGGAAAGCGCTGCTGCATTGCTTACAGAAAATGAGAACTGAGGCACAGTTAACAGGAGGAGGAGCTCCTGCCCTACCAGTCTCACACTCAGAGGTGTTACCTGTAATCACAGATGTGTGAAAATAGCATGTGAAAGCAAGAGAAGGGGAGAGAGTGAGTTCAATGCACTGTGTCTCTAGTCCCTGTGGACTCCCTCCTTCTCTGCTGAAGGTGACACATTTCTGCACGTGTCATACTGTATTTATACAGTCTGCTGTAGAAGGTGAAAATAGTTGGGGGGGTAATCCAGTGAATATTAAGATGCACAGCACAGTCAAATCCCCTATCTTCTATTCCAAAGACATACCTGTCTGAGCAAAAATATATATACAATATAATTAAAAGTATTTACGCTCAGCAAAGACTTAAATGTTAATCATATAAGCAGTTGTAACAGTGTGTAGCTTCACCTTTCCTACAGAACTAGGCTTGGCACAGCTAAAAGGAAAATGTTGCAGTATAAGAGCACTGTGACAAGCAGCTTTAAGAAATACCAAATGATTTTGAAAGTTAGCATTCTGCTTTGCTGTTTAAACAGACTGCAGGCCCACCTAATGCCCTGACTCACTTCTGGCAAGAAACTGAAACTCTAGGCCTCTGGCTCCTTCTAGTGGCAGTCTTTAGTCTCAACACAGCAGTGTTTTGGGCCACACCTAGTCCATGATCAACTGTGGAGGCAATGGCCTGTAAATATAGCTACATTCATACACTACAATAATTGTCCTAAAACTCTATAGCACTGCTTATTGGGGAAATTATAAAGGGAAAAAAGAAAAAGGGAGAGAGCTAGTGCCTTGCTAGGGGATGAGATATGATCTACCACCATCATGCCTGAGGTATTTTACGAGGCACTTAGTTACCCAGCTGAGGTGCTGCAGCTAGATCATAGATTTCACTGTTAGTACCACACACATACTTCCCTGCTCACAGTTGTCAAACCAACTATGCCATTAATTATTGCATTATACTGCTATTAGAGTGAGGGAAAGCACAGACTCGATAAAGACGCACTGCTGAGAAGTCATTTAGGCACAGCCACGTCTGCCAGAACACAGGCTGATTCAAGCACTGCATGAAACTCTTTCAAACATGATAACAAATTCAAGCCAGTTCATAATATTTGACATTTTTATTTGATATTCAACAGAAAATCAACTCCAAAATATTAGTAAACTAAACAGTAAAACTAAACATTTTATAACAGAACCCTTATGAAAGCATGAATAAAAGTGAAGGAGTTCATTTCAGTGCAGTACAATAATTTATTGAAAAATACACTGATGTGAAATAAAAACCAAAACAGTGTTGCTGAGATAATTTATCATCAGAAGATGTCCACATAGCACACCCTGGCACTCAGGCTAAATATTGCCACCATCATATATTGCTCCTGCTAGGAAGCAAACAGCAAAGAGTGTGGACATTGATATTAATGGGCTTTTAGTTACTTTCAGTATTTTTACTGTGACATCACTTTTAAATCCTTAAATTATTTTTTAAAACCTCAGCACAGCATTACATTAAAAGTAATTTTGCCCAAATTAAAAATTTGTTGTTATTATTATTATTTAAATCTGAGATTAAACTTTGCCCATAGACATTCAGTCAGAAAAGTCCATTTTTATTATCAATGGTACCTAGGAAAATAAGGATTTATTATTTTGACAGTGACAGTCTTTGGCAAAACCTTGTGGTGAAAATCACATCCGTCCAGAGTCACGTATTTGATACAACACATTTTCAGTAGAAAATAAATGGTATGCACCCACAAAACTGAATAATGTATAGCTCAGTTTACTATTAGCAAAATTTATTTTGTGACCATTAAATTTTGAAGAAGCTCCTACGACAGGTGCTATTCACTGGGACATTTAAATCTAGAAACGGAAACAATCGTAAGGGAATTAATGGAATGGAAACTGGTTAAAAGACACAGTGCAAGAATTAATGAAAATACTATATATTTAGGTGAAAACTATTCACAAAGTTTTACGCAGTTTGTGCAGTTCTGCCAGTATCACAGCAAAACCAGAAGTATTAAGGCTGCAACTAAGTACTTCATCATACCATAACAGATTTGGTAGAACTAGGTTCTGGGTTACTCACATGAAGCAACAGTTCTTAAAAATGTAAAAGAAACTCCCCAAAATAATACAATTAAAGCCCTTAACAAGAACACAAAGACATGGAGGTTAACGTGACAACACTGAAACACCACAGCACAAACTGTAAACAGATGGTGGGACACTCAGACATACAGACATTTGGTCTATATTAAGACACACTGCAAATAAATAAAAATAATACAAATAGAAAGAAGAAAAAAACAAAATTACGCATGAATCCCTGATTGCTTCAAACGTTCACTGTTTCTGTTATATAAAGTAAATTGCATGGAGGGATGAAATTTTGTGGGAGAAGGGACAAGCCAGGAATGTCAGGGATTTTTTGATTTACACAATACAGGTGCTTTACTCGTGCCTTTATTTGGAGAGAAACTTGGAATGAACTTTTGAAAAATAAATGAGAAACCACATTCTTTACAGTTATGACATATCATGTGAACATATGCACTGTATCACATTCACTAGCAATTTGATGTAGATACAAAACTCCATATAAAAACAATACTATGACAATTTAATTGGTATTAATGAGGAGATCATTTTGGAATAGATAATTGAATACACATTGGATACATAAAAATTTACACAAAAACATATGCTAAGGAATGATTAAATTCATAAAAGAAATTAAAAATGTATTTGACAAAGGCACTACTAATGGGATTAAATCAACAGGTTGTGCTGGATATCTAACATAAAATGTCTGACCTTTTCACCTTCTTTACTGTCAGCACTTAAGGAATGTAGCGCAAATATATAATTTAATAAAATATCTTCCTTTATTTCACCTATAAAGGTGTTTGACAGTCTATATTTGACTGAGATTGTGCAATTTGCTTCTCCACATAGAGCCTTTAAATATTTATCCACATTTAAAAATTTAACCCAGAGCTGATTTTCATCCTCCAGCGCTGTAATCGAAGAACTCTGCCGTAAGTGACCATTAAAATCAACATGTGTATCTAATATTAATCTCAAATCTACTAGCCATTATATATTTCTCAATAATAATTATGCGAATCAGAACAATAAACTGTACATTCACAGGGTTTAAAAACTAAGTACTGCTAGCATGGTCCATTTAAAATAAGTATGCAGTACGAATCTGTAAAAGAATGTGTCTGGAAAAGAATTGTGTAAAAACACTGATAATATTTAAGAAAACTTGAATAATCATGCAGTTGGAAATGATGGCCAGTTAATATTACATATGCATTCAAAATTTTCATTAAAATAATGACCACTGTGTTGTTGATTTCTGTTGAAGGGTGGTGATAAAGATTTCAGTGGGTCATAACTGCATGCCGAAAAAAAAAAAAAACCCCACACGAGTTAAACGAGCACCTCAGACTCAGTAAGCTGCTGTCTGTAATGAAATCTGCTATTGTGTAAACAGCTACAGTTACTAAGTACTATTTGAAAGCCACAAAATATTGCTACCAATAAAACAGTTTGAGGTGCTCTGTGGTTCACAAACATGTTATACACATTCTTAAAAATATCTAATCTAATTTGATTTACACGAGAATCAACTTGTAATTATGTAGTTTGAGCATGAAACAATCAAATGTTAACCTCAATCCACTCATACAAGCAAATCATCTGACATCACATATACGGTTACAGAATAAAGAAAGTCACTTACACCATTAAAAGCTCATTGGCAGTGGCAGCACACTGTCATTAGTATGCAACACAACTTACTGCTGAACTAAACTAACTGGTACTATCTCCACTTCATACGTTACTGCTGTAAATTAGAATATCATCAATGGCAACTGTGGTGTGATGTTTTAAGGGTCAATAAGTATTTCTCACAAATTATAGAATATATAGAAAAAATACAAAGTATTTTTTCTATAATACAAAGTATTTTTTCTATATATTCTATACAATACAAATACAAAGTATT